AAACTACCTGTTACTCACAATATTTGAATGAAGACAATTTGTTAAATTTCTTCTGCATGCGATTCAATAAGTTTTTTTTTTTTCATAAATCAAGTTATATTATAAGGTAAAGAAATCATGAGTAGACTACAACATCCGCTGATGACACTAATATTAAGTTGAATATATTTATATAACGGAGGTTTTATTATGCACGCGAATATTACAGGTTCCGTTAAATAAATACTAAGGCACGTTTTAGTTTAATGACAGTCTCCATTTTTTACTAATAAATATGTATTTTTCTTTATAAAACAAAACAAACTAGTGTATAAAAACCTTTTATATTTCTATTATCTCTAAATTGTTTCAAGTTCGAATATGGATTGTATTTTGAAGGACTAAACTATGTATCAAAAATATGCTCAAAGCAGACAAAACTTTTTTATATTTTTATAAAACGCAAGTTGAAACGCTAAGCAAGATAAATTTAAAAAATTTTTAAAAACCTAAATTTTTCTTTGCTAGTCAAAATAAAATCGTTGTTTAAATAATTAACATGGGTTTGTGTTTATCAATGTTAATATTTTTTGTTTACTCAGGAAATTTTTTAAAATAAAAAAAATCATTATTATTTTTTATTCAATAACGCTTAAAAACAATTATTCAAAAACAAATTTCAGAAATAATTTATATATATATATATATATATATATATATATATATATATATATATATATATATATATATATATATATATATATATATATATATATAATATATATATATGTATATATATATTTTACTAAATAATATTGAACTAAAATTAATAATAAAATAATAATTGAAAACATTACAAAATTTTTATAATAAATTTACATTTAAAACATTTATAGTTATTTGAGTTAATTGTTAAATTGAACTAGTTTGCGGTTATTTATTTATTGCGGTAGTTAAAACACTTAACGTGTATAAAAAAAAATAAAGATAATTTTATGACGACAAAATCGCGTTAAGCTAATGCATTAAGCACTTTTTTATTTAAAACAAGGCCTGCAATCCCTAAAAAGACTAAAGCTCTAAGTCTACCAGAAGGAAGCTACTGCAAGAAAGTAAACAAATTTCTGAATGAAAGCAACTTTTTATTCCCAATTCATAAGGACAACATCTTTAGCTTGATAAAAAGTGATCTATTGAGGAACAAAGAGGCTCAAAAATAGGACATTGAATTCCTAAAGCACTGTCTCAAAGGACGCATGGTCAAAATGGCGGGTATTGATAACACATTTCAAAAAAATGCTTGTTTGGCTGTGGAGAAAATAAAAATGAAAGAAAAAATGCACTCATAAGATGAAAAGCTCAAAAATCAAGAAAAAAAGAATAAAAGAAAGGTAGAAGAACTAGAACAAAGAGAGTTTGAAGTTTCTTGGTACACAGACAGTGATAGCCTTCCAGACTCTGAGGAAGCTTTTATGCCTCCTACAAAGACCTAAAAGATTTCAGGGGAAGTAAAAGTTAGTCTTCAGCTTAGTATGGATGAACTTCTAAACAATTGGATCCCAATCATGACAAGATATGGTATTGGTGTTCGACCAGGAACCTGTTTATTGACATCTTTTTATAAAGCTGATGGTATTAACATTGAGCAGTTGAAGATCTCAAGATAAACTCTGACTAGGAAAGCACACACTGTATTAAGTCAGAAATCCAGATCATCCGAGAGCAGAACATGGACAAAGTAAGAGATTCAAAGCTAGTGATTAACTTTATTACTAAAATTGTAAAGCAGTACACCAGTGAAGAAGCAATTTCCACAAGTCATGATAGGATAGCTATGAGCTTTTCTTTTCCTAAAGCTGACTTTCAGATTTTCTGCTTGTTATTTTGAAAATTAAATACTCCAAGGGAAGGGACCAATCTGTAGCCATTCCAAGTATCCTTGAATACTATGAGCTATCTAATCAAATCATTGGGGTGTGTGCTGACACCACAGCTAGCAACACAGCTATAATAAATGTTATTGTTCATGCATTGGGGAGGCCTGTTTTATGGCTAATGTGCAGACATCACATATATGAGAGACGTTTCCATATCATGGAACTTGTTTTTGGTGCAACAAAAAGTCCTAGCAAACACCTCCATGTTTTACTTCAGAAGCTATGGCTGCAAATACATAGAGAAGTTAATAAACTTGAAAGAATTGTCAAATTTGAATGATCTCAGGATGTACTTAGACCAGGTACTCTTTTGCGCAAACTTGCAATTGAAACTAAATATTTTTGCACCACAGCCCTTCTTTTCCTGCAGATGACACAAAACAATCATCCAAATGATTCAAAAATTGTAGAGCCTGCTACTCTCAAGAACATAAACACTGCTACAAATTACATTGTGTTTTTCCATGGCCTATTTATTCTGAAGAGTCATATGGCAACTCAAGCTCCTTCAAATGACCTAAGAGCTTTTAAGATAGCTTACCATCTTCAAATGTTAGATGATTACAAAGCCTATACAGAGATGGGGAAAGTTCTCAAAAAAAGCCTTTTATGGCACACCTGATATCTAGTTCCCCAGCTTGTAATTTTGTCTCTTGCTGACAGGGATCTAAATGCTGACGTTAAGAAGAAAATCTTTAACTAATTGCTGTATCTTGCTGTTCCAGAAAAAGAATATATGGTGCTCGAGAAACCTGGAATCCAGCCAGTTGTTGTTCCAATGTCATCTCTTAATGATTTTATCACTGAGCAAAGTTTTCTTCTCTTTTTTCTCCTGGAAATCACTAAGGAAGAGCTTTTGCTGTGGAGGGAGAAAGGTATAGCTGCTTGCGAAAGCGAGAGCCCCTAAGTCATTTATCAAGTTCTCTGCTTGTGCAAATTAGCTTGCAGTGGTAAATGATAGGGCAGAACATCGCATAAAGCTGATCCAAGACTTTATTGGAAGGACAAATAACAAGAATAGACTTCAGGATACTCTTCAGGTAATTACTAAACATTTTTATACAGACCTTTAGCGTGTAAATTGTTAGGGAGAGGGGGTCATTTTTTTGAAAAATTAGGCAATTTAGAATAGCAAACACATATCATGTTGACTCTATTTGATAATAATTTTATTATTGATCATAACAAAAAAAAGAAGTCAATTGTTCCTAACAATTTACACCTAACAACCCCTTACCCTACCCAATGTACGCACATGCTATACAATAACATCTGCAAAACTTTTAAAAGTATTTTCATATCATTTTATTTAATAAACTAACTATTATTTTCAAATTGTATTGCTAGGATTATTTAATTATTTTACAAAAAAACCTGCCTTTTTAATTTTATTTATTATTTTTTAAGTTGTCCATAAAAACAGACAGCAAGTATCCAAGAAAGTTACAAAGAAGTACCTGCAGAATATCTAACAAGTATTACAACTGTCATCACACTTTTGTTGCTTTTCAATTCTTTTTAAAACAACTATCTGAAATTAAATTGTCACACACGATCTGCATCTTTCTTATTCTATTAAATATATTTTAAATCAAAACCAGTGTTTTGTGAGTGTTTTAAATTTAAAACTATCTATATTCGGAACTTTAAATTATATTCAGGAAAAATTCTATTATATAAAAATTGACTAAAACCACTTTCTTTACCTTAGAGTTGATTTGAAAGGCTGAAATTTTTACTATAAGCTACCAATACATAATGATAACGATTAAACCTTTCCACAGTTTGATTTTCGAAAGAAAAATTTTTTTGAGACACACTTATGTTCACATATAAGTATTTTATTTTAAACAAATAGGTTACTGCTGTTTGCAAGTTTTTTTAAATTGGGTGTTGTGGAATAATGTAAGTTTCAAAAAAGAAAGCAAAACTAACAAAGTTTAAATAAATTTAAAGAGAAAATAACTTTTTAAAATTACTAATTTATGTGTTGTTTTTGTTTTTGTTATTTTAGCAACAAAATTAAATCAGGTGAAGCAAAAAAAAAAAAAAGACACCATTAAAAAGAATGATTTTCCTATATTTTAATTGTTGTTTTTTAAAGAGTAAAGCGAAAACATAAATAGCTATCTGTTTGTTATATATATTTGTATAATTTTAATGTAAAAAGTAAATATTGCTCCTATAAAAAAAATCTATGTAACTCATGCGTAATTCATATACTTTATGTATAACTTTTTAATAATATAATTATATTTATTTGTTTCACAAGTATACGCAGGTTTAGCTTATTTGGATAAGGCTTTAACATGATACATGGAAAGTCCGGGGTCCAAACCCCACCAATGTCCATTTTTTTAACTTGTTTTTTTTTTCAAACACCACTGGTTATATATTTGCTTTGTAACCATTTATCTTTTCTTTTTTGTATATAAAAAAATCTTTTTTTTTGTATGTTTATAAATGATACACATCTCTTCACATTCAGAATTCTTATAACATTTAAGCCTTTCAGTGCATTTTCTAAAGAAGGGGCACACACATATATACATGGATTTTAAGCCAAGTCGTTTAAACATTTTTCACATAGTCTTAATCGTTTCATATTACCTTTCTATTCCTGTATGTATATGATCCTCAATCTTTTAGCAATTTGTAATTATAAGTATTAATTTTAGATACCTGTTTCTTTTTGACACTCGGATCTGTGTGTTTAGTTCTACCCGCCCCTCCCTATCGGTCTACTATGTTATATATATATATATATATATATATATATATATATATATATATATATATATATATATATATATATATATATATATATATACATATGTATACATATTATTGGAGAGCAATTATTATTAATAATTATTATTAATTGTTAGTAAGTATCCTTGTGAAACAAATAAATAAAATTATAATATAAAAAAAGTTATATATAAAAGTATATGAATTACAAATGAATTACAAAAACGTTATTATATAGGGATAATATTGACTTTTTACATTGAAAATAAATTATAAATATATGTGTGGATATAGATAGCTATTTATATTTTCATTTTCTTCTTAAAAAAACAAAAAAAAAAAATACAGAAAAATCATTCTTTTTAATGTTGTCCTTTTTTTTTTTTTTTTTTGTTTTGTCAAATCCAATTTTGTTGCTGAAAATAACAACCACTCTAAAAAAATAATAATATAAATAGTACAAAAATTATTTAAATTATTAATTTTTTTCCCTTTAAATTTATGTAAATTTTGTTAGACATTCAAGACAAAAAACCGCACGCATTTCCTGGGAAGGCATGATGTATACATATACATGTATATATATATATATATATATATATATATATATATATATATATATATATATATATATATATATATATATATATATATACATACACACACATATATATATATATATATATATATATATATATATATACATATATATATATATATATATATATATATATATATATATATATATATATATATATATATATATATATATATATATATATATATATATATATATATATATATATATATATATACTCTTGCATGTCTCTTGCGTGGCATCAAAAAATATTTCCCATAAACTGTAGTTTTAAAGAGCGCGTTAATAAACCAGACCAGAAAAAGTTTTGAAAATTAAATTTTTTTTTTTAATTGATAGACTGCCTGGCCAAACCAAACCCTCAGTCGATGTAGCAGCACTCTCTTGCGAGTCAGGCTATTTGTCAGTCGTTGTAGCAGCACTCCCTTGCGAGTCAGGCTATTTGTCAGTCGATGTAGCAGCATTCCCTTGCGAGTCAGGCTATTTGTCAGTCGATTTAGCAGCACTCTGTTGCGAGTCAGGCTATTTGTCAGTCAATGTAGCAGCACTCTGTTGCGAGTCAGGCTATAAGATAGTCGATGTAGCAACATTTACGCATGTTTTAAAAATGTTTTTTTATTAAATCAATAACAAAAACACCACTAATTAAAAAAAACTTTCTAGTCGTTATAATTGCGGTTTTTTAAAAAATTTTTAAAAAACAATTAAATTTAATGTACTTCCGCATAAATTAATTGCTTTGACATTTCGATGACAATCAAAAACAGCTTAAGAGACGAGGTAATTAAAATTGTAGTCGTAAGAGACTTTTTTTACATTAAAACGCTCTTTCGACTACACTATAAGGGTATATATATATATATATATATATATATATATATATATATATATATATATATATATATATATATATATATATATATATATATATATATATATATATATATATATATATACATTTTAAAATTGTTTATATATATTACAATCAAACACATATATTTAAGAAATTATTCAATCAAATACAATACGAATACAAATACACTAATTTAATACATAACTAACAAATATAATTTCAAATACAAATACGTGTTTGACCCCAACTCTGTCCATGATTAATCCAAAATAAATTTTGTTGGGTTGGTTCTTACCTGCAATTACACACTTATACATAATGTTTTTGGATCTAAACTCTTTATTCATAAGACAGACAGCTTTATAAATTCTTTTGCTTCTAGTAGCATTTTGTGTAACTTGCGTGTTTTAGTAAAGTATATGCATACTAGTTTTTTAAATGCTTTATTGATAATTCTGGAAACCCTTTTTTTTTTACCTTACTATGGAAACAAAGGTTAAGTAAAAAATTTTTACTAATAATAAAATTATTTAGATTAAAATATAAAATTACTAATTAAAAACTCTTTAATTATATAAAATTTATCAAATTTAAGAGTTTTTTAGCAACACTTACTTCTTAAATCTCTGTACGACATTTCTCTAAATCAATTAGCTTAAACAATTAGCTTCAGTATTAATTGATTGTATAAAAACTCTCAGAGATCAAAGTAAAATTTATATAATGCAAAACTCTATAAGATGTATATTTATAGGTGATTTAGTTTAGTATTTAAGAATGTATTATTGTATCATTGCAATAAAAACAAATTGATTTATTTTCGACCGACGGTTGTTATGTACGCGGATAAAATAATTCGAACAATTTCCCGGTACCGAAAAAAGATGTTTTAAGTCTTCACAATAATTCAAAGAACTTCAAGAATTTAAAAAAATTTTAAATAGCGTTTAAACGTGTTTGTAAACAACCGTAAATTATCCATTTAGAAAGATATGCGCGGTGTATACTCAAACATTGTTTTCAATTATTACTTTTGTCATCCGCATATCAGGATTTAACCGCTCCTCCTTTAACCACTTATAGGTTAAAGCCGCCTCCATTAGCGAGAAGCAAAATAACACTGACGTTAATACATTAACGTCAGTGTTATTTTGCATTCTTTAGATACTTTTTCAGAATAACTTTAAAAAAAAAATTTTTTTTTTTAATTTTTCTACTTAAATTAGCTGAAAAGCTAGAAAATAGCAACTTAGTTTGCATAAGAGTTCTTTATAATACTTGAACATAAAACTGTACAGCTCATTAAAAAGAACAACATAGATTTGTAATTTGTATGAAATTACTATAGTCAAATATTAACACAAAGTTGTAATGTTATTGACGATGAACATTATTATTGTAACAAATAATTTTAATAAAAAAATAATAATTTGAGTTTTTAGCGACTAATGAATTAAAAAATAATCAACTTTTACATATATGTAAAAGTTGATTATTTTTCATCTATAGATGGTGCAATCACTCTGTAGTTAGTTCATCGAATATGATACGAGTTGCAATCTTTCCCTTTGGTTTTTTACAAATCTACTACCGCACTCTTATGTTGGTAATATGAGATTTTAAAAGTTTTTTGAAAAAATATCAGGTTAATACATCCCACAGATTCTGCTATAATTCATATTACTCTATCTAATATTTACAAATCTTTAAGGTAATCTGTACTGGAAAATTTAAAATAAATTGATGCGGTAACAATTTTATTTGACGTTTGGACTGACAAGTACAAAAAATTTAGTAATATGGGGTTAAAGTGTTCCATTATTAATAAAGATCCAGAAAATTCTCTGGATCTTATCCTACCATTAATATTGACATGGCATAGGTAATTGTAACGAAATAAAATGCTTGTTAGAAAAATGCGGAAGAATTGTAACATTCTTAAACTTCAAGTCAGCCTTAGTTTTAGAGGATAATGCACTTTGGTAAGCAAATATAAAGCAGTCGTGGTGCAGGGTTAAAGTTCTGGCCTAGAACCCAGAGGTCCGAGGTTGAATGCTGGCTCTAGTCTAATAAACGACATCTCTGTGATAAGAACGTTATGAATTTTGGGAGCAACTTAATATCTCCAAAAAAAAAAGTTATAAAAATGTACAACAAACAACTATAAAAATGTACAACAATCAACTATAAAAATGTACAACAACCGACTATAAAAATGTACAACAACCGACTATAAAAATATACAACAACCGACTATAAAAATGTACAACAACCAACTATAAAAATGTACAACAATCAATTACAAAGAATTGTAACATGCTTTGATTTTTATCTGAAGGGAAAGATGTTGACAATTTAGAACAGCTGTTCAACTCAAATTAATGACGATTCAAACATAACTGAAAAAATAATTTTGATTGCGCAATTAAAGAGAAATTCGAAGGTAATTATATAAAAAAACAGCATATACGCACAATATGGAATAGTGCTCTCCTTATTATTAAATAAATAAATATTATATATAAAATTTTAAATAATTTTGAAACTATTTGAATTGTTAACTCTTTTTGTCAGTGTTGATAACTCTATTTCGATTTTGCCATTAGTGAAACACAAATAGCTAAAGTTTCTTGTTTCTTGAGATTTGAATGAAATTCAAAAAAATAAAGGAATTTAGTTCCAAAATATTGACCAAAGACCTAAGTTATCAACTTAGGCAAACATATGTTTATTAGATCAAGCCACAAAAATTTTATATACAAGAGGTGAAATAGTGTAACGAGGGGCAAAATGAGACACTTAAGCGCTAATACATCTAATACGGCCCGTCTAACAACTTTTGAAAAAATAAATTGATATTTTTCAATTCTTCTACGATCCTACTTGAAGCCTAAAAAGTATGAGTTGCAAAACTGCAGTAGTTTGGTCACCAGAGATCATTTATTAACAGCACCTATCCTGTCTCATTTTGCCCCGCATACCGGGGCAAAATGAGACAGATTTTTTTTTTAGTAATTTAAATAAATAAAGTTAAAAAAAAAACAGATCTTTAAGAGGATTAGCAAGTAATACATTTTATAATATATTACAGCTATAATCAAACTGTCACTAGTCACATAAATCACATATTGCTTGACCAGTATTTTGAAACGAACAACAGTCCGAATGAGCCCAGGTTGTGCATTATGAAAATTGACTCCACTTATATATATATATATATATATATATATATATATATATATATATATATATATATATATATATATATATATATATATATATATATATATATATATATATATATATATATATATATATATATATATATATACACTGCAAGAACTGATAAAACCATACATGCATATATTAAACTTATGTATTTAAAGCACGCATAACATTCATTGTATTTTGTTTATAGGTACTGCAATAACCTATATTTTAAAATCTACTCACTATATATTTTATATACTACTTACTTTATTACATTACAATACAATAAGATTATAAAATACAAACATAGTAATTATAAACATCAGGCAATTATTTGCTTCAATTTGATTAAATATATATTATATTTAAATATAAGTTAACAAAATATAAAACGTAATTCTATATTGGATAACAACTAAACATTTGAATTAACAAAATAAAAAGTAAATACAGTATAATAAATTTAAATCTACAGTATGTAAATATTAATATTTGCTTTGGTTGTTGTTTTAATGTAAAAAATTAAATAAACATAATATTAGATATCGGCAAAAAAAAAAAAAAAAAAAAAAAACAGAATGTCTCGTTTTGCCCTACATCATGTTGGCATCGAATAGCCTAATTTCCAGACTATTTTATTGAGGAAATAAAATAAAAAAGAATGGAAATGAAAGAAAAAGGCCTAAAGATTCTAATTAAAAAAAAAACTTTAAATATAAAAAGCTTTTCCACTCAGTGAGATTAAAAAAGGCTAGGAAAAAATATAATAACAACTCTTAAAAATTCGTAATTTTCGCGAAGCCGAGGGATAAAATGATTCCACCTTTTACTCAACTTTTTTATTTCAAAGTGACTCAATATATTTTTCATGACACAAAATAGTTTTTTAACACAACTACACTTTTAAAAATCTTGCAAATAATAATTTGTAGGGCTAGCATTATGTTAAACGCGAACTGTCTCGTATTGCCCCGCTGTCTCATTTTGCCCCGCGTTACCCTAAAGGAAAATTTGTTAGAGAATGTTTTAAACATATGTTGGTCCATCTGGATTCAATTCAAGGTGTTTTATCTCTTAACAATTGTTTGTACAGTCTGTTGTTTAATTAAAGACAATTGTAAAATTAACAAATTACATCATTACATCAATAAAAGATGTCCCAGTGGGCACGGTACGTAAAAAAGACAACTTTTAAGCGTCTTTTGAACGTTTTGAACGTTTAAAAGATAAAACAACTTGAATTGAATCTAGATGGACCAACATATGTTTAAAACGTTCTATATTTTATTATATATTATTAATATGATATTATATATTTTTATTATGATTAATATGATGTATTATTAAGTATTATTAATTAATATGCTTATTATTGCTGTTATTAATTATTTTTTTTAATTTATTTATCTGATCGTAGTTAAGTCAGAATTAGACAACGATAAATATTTAAAATCAGATCGTATTGCTAAGCGATTACTACTTCTAGAGATGAAGAAAAGTGGTTTATTTTCAAAAAAAAAATCTTAAGTTAATTCGGAAATAGAGCAATTTATTACTAATGGACCTACGACAGATGAAGAACAAGATTGTTTATTAGATAATTTTATTTAGCTTCTTACGACAGATGAAGAACAAGATTGTTTATTAGATAATTTTATTTTCTTAGCACAACTAAGATACACTTAGCTGTGCTAGAAAATATTTTATTACTCCAACTTCAACTATATCAGTAAAGTCAATGTTTTCAATAACTGGATTAATTCTGAACTTAAAAATAAGTAATTTAAGTTCAACATCACTTTATATATGACAATATTTATTGGATTTTAAATTTAATTAAAAAAAGATATATATATATATATATTTAAATATAGAATCAAGTTTTTTTGTGTTTTTTTTTTTTAAATAATCTATTTCTAAGTTTGAGCAACTTGGTTAGCCAGAATCAGCTAGTTAATAAGTCACTCAGCTTTTAGCCATCATTTTTAACTGCAAGTTACCAAGTTGTATGTTCTAAGCATGGCTATGTATGGCATAAAGGGTAGCTCACTCAAAACAAAAGATAATTGACAAGATATAGGATAAGTGTTAGGATAAGCGTTTGTAAATTATGGAACAACAAAAAAAATAATACTGATAATCTCTAGATGGTATTAAAAAGTTTTACAACTTTATGGACTTGTTAAAATCTGTTAAAAAGTCCCTTAACCCACAATAGATTCTAGTTCTAAATGGTTCTGACGTATATTAACTAAATATTGTTGTCAAAATACAATATTTCTATTAATTTTCATAAAAATACTAGAATTCCGACCAAGAAAAAGCTTACAATTAAGAAAAATTGCCAACAAACGATCAGAACAGACCATATTATTAAACTATGGGGTTCATTTCACATAAAAAATTTATTTATTTAAAATTTGGACAAGAGATTGTGATTTTAAGAAGAATTTTTTTTTAAAAAAAAAGAATTTTCGGTCTGGATTTTTTGCTACAAACACTTATATTTTATGATAGTGCAAAACTTATCATTTTAATTTTTTTTTTGTCTTTTCATAATTTACAGACCTGATCATTTAACGGAAAAATGTCGTCAACAATATATCATTCAGACGCTATAATGTTTTAAAATTGATTAACTATACAACACCGTGTGTGAATGGTATGTCTTATAAAAAATGATTAAATATTTTATAATTTTAACTTTTTTGTCTAACTGCTTACTAAAATAAGAAAGAAGTTAATTAATCGCTATTTAGACTAATTTTTTAAAGAGAAGGAGTTGAAATAACACTGGTCATATTGTTTTTAAATGAGAATGGATTTCTGACTTGTGACAATTGCAAAAAAAGAAAAAAGAAAAAATTTACCAAAATCATAAAAGCTTTATAAAAATAAATTGACAAGAAAATAGCATGAATATTATTTTGATATATTTAAACACAGGAGATGTTTTTCTACGAATGCACTGGTTGAAATAAACACAGGAGATGTTTTTCTACGAACCCACTGGTTGAAATAAACACAGGAGATGTTTTTCTACGAATGCACTGGTTGAAATAAACACAGGAGATGTTTTTCTACGAATGCACTGGTTTAAATAAAATAATCTCTAGTCTAAATAATTGAAAAAGAAGTTGTTGAAATAGAAAAAAAAAATGAACGGAGAAGTTATTTTTAAAATATTCTCAACCGTTTTTATTTTATTTCAATATATTGATTAGTAATTTAAAAGACAGTGTAAGCCTCAGGGTTTTAAAAATTTAAAAGACAGTGTAAGGGGTTTGGGTCGGTTTTTTTATATGTTAGCACTTTTAACAGCTACAAGATGAGTTTAGATGAAAATAAAAACAGAAAGGTGTAAAAATAAAAAAAGAGATATTTGATAAATAAATAAAAGTTTATATATATTCTACCACAATAATGTGGTAAATAAACACCACAAAAAAATTACCACAAAAAAAATTGCCACCCAGTTTTACACCAACATTTACAATGTTGGTTGTAAAAATTTGTTCTAATATATCACAAAATAATTGCAAATCAATATTTATGTTGCTTAATTAAATTCAATAAATTTAAAATTATAAAAAAAACTTCAAGCTTCTTACATTATTTTGAGCAGAAAAACATAAGCTACTAAAATTATTTCATAAAAGTCAAAAAATTATCAGCTAAATACCTCTGCCAACTTTAATGAAATAAAAAACAAAGCTGAGTATATATTATCTCGTTCAACTTTTTTATAAAACTGTTTAAAGCAGTTGATATAAAGTCTTTATTCTATGCTCTAAAACTTTGTCCGTTAAGCGACCACGAATTATAAGCCCAAAAACGGAAGTACTCATCTTGAGCGGCTGTTTTTTGATGCTGTCGTTGATAAGGTTTATGCAGCAAGCTTTGCGGTTGTGTTTGTTTTAATTATTAGTGGTGCAGTTGATTCTTGTGTTAGCAAATTTTATAGGAAATAGCAAATTAGCAAATCCTGAGGAATTTATATTAACGGACTGATTGATTATTGGCGTTGTTCAAGAGTGACAATGATGGTTTTTATGAGCTTTAACCGGCTTTGAAATTATTGTACTAAAACGGACAGTTCATGGATGATGAAACAAAAGGTTTTTTCAATGTGGTGTTTCGTTGCTCGCTCTTTTCCACTTGATGAGTTTTTAAAACTCATATTGTTGGGCAGCTTTACGGCTTCCCGCCTTTAGCGGTTAGATTTGTTGGACCGGGTCTAGGTGAAATACTATCAACTTTTTTACCTTTCTTTAAACAACATTTAAATTTATTAGTATTTACAATAACTCTTTTCGCTTTGGAAAGTGTCTTGACTCTAGTATAATTAGCTTTATGGCTCAACGAGGTTGACTAAAACAACGTTGTCTCGCTTGTGTGAATTTTGAGTCATTATTAAAGGCACTGAAATTTTTTTTTATTTCCTATTTATCCCACACGTATTCCATGTGGGATTAATGGGAAACGACATGAAATCCATGTGGAATAGTTTACTTTCACTGGGTTGTGCTGTTAGTAGACGCGTTATTCTTAACCGCTTCCTTCACAACATTGTTCAACATTACCAAATTATCAGCTAAAACTAATCACTGATCGATTAATTTAAGATACCGAAGGTTTGATTCGTATACAGTTTAACATATTTCTTTTAAACGTAAGTCAAACTTTTATATTAATTCTGGATAGTTATTATGTTTTTTCCTAAAATTTAAAGTAAGTAGAAAATTGAAGGAGTCGACAATTTGAGGCATAAGTTTAAATTTAAACAATTTGAAAAAAAAGAGAAACGCATAATCTGTTTTAATTAGACATTTTTTCGAAAAGATGTAATTTGGTCAAAAAAAAATACGTTTTATTTCACTATATATTTTTAAAATATTATTTTACATCCGCTTTTATAACTTAATTTCAAAAATACTTTAAAAAAAACTATAAACAATTTAAAACACCCTAAAAAAAATTTATTGACATAAATTATTAACAAAGCGCAGCATTTATATAGAATTCTATACTTACATTGAATTTCAAAAAAAATGCAATTATAGCTTTAGATAAGCAGTTAAAAATAACGCTTTAAATAAAAGATACTATTTTCTCGTAATTGGTTTGAATCATAAAGCTATAATAAAACTAACTTTTAATTGCACTAGGCAACTTGGTTTAAGCACATAAATAACAACGAGTTAAATGGATCTATATTTAGTGAACAAAATGATACTCGTAGCACGCTGTTTAAACATGCCATCACGTTTTAAAAGAAAATCCTTGAAAATCTATTCCAAAAGATACAATAACAATAAAAAAATCACAAAACTTAAAAAATAATTTAATCACAAATATTTAAATTGACCTAATTTCATTTTTATAAAATGCATCCAAAATGTGCACATCAAACATTTCATTATCAAACGCCATTTTAATGAACACGTTTCCATATAATCACAGTACCCTATAATCATATTTAAACTTTTTAAAATTACCGTTTATAATGGAACAAAACATAACAATATCACAAACATAGCAACATAGCAATCGCTCAGTTACAGACATAGCAACATAGTTTTAGTTACAAACATAGCAACATAGCTTAGTTAAAAAGTAATAATAATAAATGGTAAAAATAATAAAAAAAGCGTATTCAAAGTAATGCGATAGTGGTGTAGTAATAGAGCGCTAGCTTTGTAAGCATCCCGGGTTCAATAATAACCACCTCCCTGAGAATTACATGCTCAACTTATTTTTTCGCGCAGCAACCTTATTCGTCAAAATTCGTGTTTGGGACTTTATGGGTTAAAAGAGAGTTGAGGCAAAAATAAATAAAACATAAAAGAAAGGGAAAAAAAGAGCAAGTCACACCCCTTCAAAATGTTTAACAAAGACAAAAAAATTTTAGTAATATTTTTTAAATAATAGTAATAAATTTCCATCTTTTTTTAACATAGAATTTTAATATTATATTTCCTTGTGACAAATTTAAGTTTTGACATCAAGAAATTTATTTTTATTAAGTCATTTTTTTAATAAATCACTCTCTCTATATATAAATATTTAATTATATATATTTAATATTACAAATATTTAATTATAATTATTTAATTATATATATTTATATATATTAATTATAAATATTTAATTATATATATTTAGTTATATTTAATATTATTAATATGAATTCATGTTAAAAAACATAATTTTAAAAAGTGTTAGTAAAGACAGTGGCGTAGGAAGGTCAGGAAAGTTGGAAAAGGGAAGGTCAAGAAAGTCTAAAACGAAAATTAAGTCAGAATCAGAATTTAAATAGAAAAACTAAAAATTTTCTGAAAGTGGGGAACTATTTTTTTAAACGAGAACTATCGCCTACTCTGCCCCCTCCCCCCCTTGTTACTACGCCAGCGAGTAAACACACTTACCTCTGCATCACAAGAAGCTAATAAACTTTCATCATAGTTCCAGCAAACATCAAGTACAGGCGCTGAGTGACCCAACAATGTGTTAATTGGTTTCAAAGGTTCATCAATATTAAAAAAGTACACAGAGGTATCTTCACTGCCTGTCACTAAAATATATATATATATATATATATATATATATATATATATATATATATATATATATATATATATATATATATATATATATATATATATATATATATATATATATACATATATATATATATATATTAGGGTGTCCCAGTCGCCCCTAAAAAAGATGTTCATATTCTTAAAACTTTCTATTGGTTCTCACAAGCAAATCGGTTAAATTTATTAAAAATTTCATTGGATTTAGGGGGAGCACAAGACCCTGGAACACCTACCGGGTCCCTAATACTATTTAAAAAAAGTTTTTTAAAAGTATGTCATGTTTGGTCTCAAAAGAAGCGAAATTATATAAAAATTTCAAAAATAACAATCATTTTATTGAAAAATTATTAATTTAGAGTTTATTGCAAAAAAAACAACCACCTTTTATAACTAAAAATGAAAGAAGTATACTTATTTGATAATAATTCCCAAAAAGTTTTTTTCGAAGCTTGGTTAGTAAAAATAGTTTTAATGAAATGTTAATAAAATATTAAATCACATTGCATTACAATCTATGTTACAATATCTTATAAATATTATAAATTATAACTATTATAAAATTATTAATTTACATATATTATAAACTATTAAAATTATCAATATATTATAATCATTATAAATATCAAACATATTAGATTTGCAAACCTATGCAAGCTCCTTGGCGAAAAGACATAAGTGGGCAGAATGAACTTCGAATTTTTTCTTTTTCTAGTTTTATTGGAAAACAAGCTTTTTGCTGTATCTCCCCTGTAGAGTCACAAATGCTAAACATTAAAAGAGAAACTAAAAATAAACAATAAAATACTCAATCAAAACTAATTAAAATTGCAGTTATTTACACTTTAGATTTATGTTGTTAGAAAAAGTTACCCTACGGCGTTTGTTCTTAAAAGTTACGTTCTAAATGTCTTTTAAACGTCTTTTACACGTTCTTTATGTAAGAATGCTTAGAAGACGTTTAAAAGACATTTAAAATACATTTAGAAAATAACTTTTAAAAACAAATGCCCACTAGTTTTAAAGTTACTACCTTAGTAACATGCAGCGATTTGTTAAACAGTTAACTAATAAAGATGGAGCACGAGCCTCCCTACTGACCCAAGTACGAGCACAAATTGAGGTTATGAAACCACATTGCGGTATCACAAATCTAAAAGAAATCTTTGTTTTAGCTTCAAAAAATTGATTTATTGCAGCATAATTTTTTTATCATAACATTAACAAAATAAAAATTGCTAATCAGCATACCTTTTCCCTCTTACCAATTTTCCTTCAACTATATTAAACATAAAAGATACAATAGCACCCTAAATTAAAAAAAAGATCCAATTTTATATTATTATAACTGTTATTAGATAACAGTTTGTTAGCCAGGAATATATTTTTTACAAGGTTTTTGCAATATTGGAAATATTTATTGTTATTGTTCTACTGAGTATTAAGAATTTTGATTGATATTGGCTTATTACTTCCAAAAAAAAAAGAAGAAAAGTCATTGAATTTTAAGACTTTTAAACCAATTTGGGATTCCGCAGTAAACACAGTGCCTTTGGGCTGGCTAACACCCTGGATATGTAAAGATGCAACCTTTATACTAAAACTAAAGTACAAGCATCAACTTGCACATCATCATACAAAACTTGCAAATAAACTAATTAAAAACTTTAATAACAAATATATATATATATAAATATATATATATATATATATATATATATATATATATATATATATATATATATATATATATATATATTTATATATACATATACATATATATACACATATGTATATATATACATATATATATATATATATGTGTATATATATATATATATATATATATATATATATATATATATATATATATATATATATATATATATATATATATATATATATATATATATATATATATATATATATATATATATATATTAGGGCAAAATTACACGTGGCTGCATAAAAAGTTGTTCCTTACCATATAGAAATTATTATTTAAAAAAAAAAGTTTTCTATGATGTTTTTAAGTACTGTCGCATTTTATTTAAAGATTCACATTTTTACTCAAAAATATCACTACAAAAACTTAGGTGATGTGGTATTGGGACATATTTGGCATCTATTTCAAATGTTTAAAATGCTTTAATTATCACATAAAATATATATTTTAACTTTAAAAAACAAATCCATTATTATATATAAGAAAGGTGCTATCTCGTGCAGTGATGAATGGTATAACGAAAATTGATATTTGAATTGAACCAAGTCAGAAAATAATTCCTTCATATTGAAATTATCAACAAGTTTTCTATGATTTTCAACGACTTCTATTATGTCGTTTCATACTGCCTCATTCTAAAATTAGCCAAACATTCTGTAAAAAAAATCTGAATAAAACTTTAAATACTTTTTAAAAATACCTTTTTATCCGAACATAACTTTATTCCTCGCTCTGCAACATCGTTTGTAACCTTGACTGTTTTGATAAAATGTTTCATCTTTAAAAAGTTTCCATCTTCCTCCCATTCTGAAGGAGGAAGTTTGAGCCATTTCCCTTTATCGTTTAAGTTATGAAAGAGCAACCAAGATCTTTTCCCAATATACGGCAATATCTCTAAGTTCTTGTGAATAGATGGAAGATTAGGTTTTCCAAAGTTGATAGCGAGTGGCTTTCCTACATCTATCAACTTTAACACAATGTTAGCCTTTTCTTTAGCAGAAACCTTATTTGAAAAGTTACTGAAGACTGAGATCTCCTCAGTTAGATACCATGAAACTTCTTGAGATTTTTGAGCTGCATCAGAGAAGCCTGAGACCTGCTCTAGAGCGCCTAGATCATTGTATAAATTAATATCGTTATTGGTGCCTTTTGTTGCTTCTAGCCAAGCTTTAACATATAAAACTGAGCTGAAAGTCAAAAAGATTTTTAACTTTTCTATATCAGAATCGAGTAAACCTTTTATAAAGATGAGCATCTTTGGTGCATACAACAAGTGTGACATCCATCTGGCATGATGATTTGCTCCACAGGTTTTCCATACTTTAGGTTCTGGTCCGCCTAAAAGATAAAGTGCTATTTCTGCAGCTTCTTTGTAATCACCTCTGCAATGCTTACATTTTACTTGTTTCTCTAAGAACACACGAGTTTGGTCTGCTTTTGTTTTAAGAAAAAAATTTTCAAGATCTAGAAACCTGTTTAGTTTTTTTAGAGGAACCTTCTCTGCGCAAATCCATTCTTGTTGAAAGTCATTGAAATCTATAATATAATTAGCTTTTTTTTCTTTTTTAAATAAGGAGCTCTAAAATGCTCCTAAGATCAATTCTATAATGTGATGGCGACAAGCCAGCCAAAGAAGAGTTTTTTTAAAATTCTGTTATTATTTTCCTTGCCATTACTTGCCTATTTAGTTTTCGTGATCTTCTTATAGTATTTATTGAAAGGCTAATATTGTCAGGTATAATATTAACACCACCTCTATAAAATTAAAAAATATACATTTCTTTTTAGATTGTTTACAATAATCTTGTTTATTTAATAATAAAAAACGAACCTAAAACTAGAATTGCAAAAGTATTCATCATCAGCTGAGGATTTGATAGCTTAGTTCTATCTGCAGTTGCTGTTATCATTGGGTGAGAAATGAAGTTTTTTAGCAAAACCAGTGTGATACTTTCTGATCCGGTGTCTTTTTTTTCTCCTAGCTGCTTTTTAGAAATATTAAACTCAGGATTACATTTAGGAGAGTTTTGATATGCAGAACTCATAGAACGACTAGACTTAGTGACATAAGAATCTTCAGCTGAGTCACTACTATAACCAACTAACTGAACAGTTTCTTCATCATCTATTTTTCTTCTTTTTTCATTTTCAGTTGCAACCTGTTTCTTTTCAATTCTTTCTTTTTTTCTCCTAACACTAGAATGTAGCACATCTTTTACACCAACTCCTCCAGTTTTTATTCCATTTTGAAGAGCTGTAAACCAGGCAATGTCTTCATCTGCATTCTTAGCTGATCTGGCTCTTCTAATGTCATCTTTCCAACTAGGAGAACTAACATCAAAAATGCCATCTAATGATTGAATAAAGTTTTGTTCAAGTAAACTCTTTTTATTAGAAATTCTATTTTTAGATTTTGAAAGCAACTTCCATTTTTCATGTAGCCTTAAAATATTTTCAATACTGTACTTGTCTTGTTTATAAGGAATGCCAGCCTTATCTCAAAAGAGCTTGACTGATTTAATAGTAAGCATTGCCGCTAACCTAGATTTTGAAACGTTGCTTTGAGTGTGCAATGCCTCCCTAACTTTAGTAAACTTTTCATAATAGCTATCAATAATTTGCAAGTGATACCTTGAAATGGAAGATGAAAATAATTTAAACCTTTAAAAAAACTTTCAAAAACATAAAGTTATAACTTCAGTCTTAATATAGTATTAAGCCTAACCTGAAAAATTTATAAACATTTCTGGTAGTGGGCAAAGAGCTTGTTTTTAAATCTTCTAAAGGATATCCAACCAACCATATTTTGTTTGTTGACTTCAATACTTTTAAGTATTTCTTTTTAACCGATTTTTTTTAATTTTGTTGGTTCAATGTCATTTTTCTTTGGTTTAATTAGTGACATTTTCTTTATCAAATATTTACTTTGAATTACATATAAACTGGAATTGAAAACAAGATGAGCATATAGTATTAACCACTTAAGTATTTTGTATTGTTAATAACATAAACATAAGATTAATGACAACGGCGTGCTAGATTTTAATAAGTTTGCTATATTACGATCAGACAATAAACTGGCTGATAATAATAAATAGTCAGTAAGTTGGTGTTGAATCTGTTACTATATGCTTATTGAAAAACATATGATAACATATAGGCCTACGATTTGTAAAAAAATAAACAAAAGATAAACATACTGAGTTTTAATCTAAATAACACATATCTTTGAATACAATTCAAAGAATACCGCTACTCTTTATTCTATGAAAACCACTAAATAAAGTTATTGTGTTGTTAAATAAAAATCTATAAATATCAGAACAAAAGATTTTTGTTTTGTTTTGTTTTACAAGAAAAGGATAAAAATATAAATATCTTATTAGAAAGATACTTAGGCTGTTAAATTAAAGTATTATTAAATACTTTAATTTAACAGCCTAAGATACTTAGGCTGTTAAATAAAGTATTATTTGCTAAACTCTTAGTACTTTTTGCATAACCATATCAAGTCTGATTTAAATATTTCACATTATAAAATGCATAAATATTTCACATTATAAAACGCATATTCAGTTTGTTTACAAAAAAACGCTAGTATTGGTATGTATTTAACCGAATAATTTAAATAACGGAACAGATGTAATGGAGGATTTGTGTTTTTCGTTTAGATTTCAAATTCACATTAAAAATAAAATGCGGCAGTACTTAGAGATGTGCTACATAAACACTTTCATAACAAAAAATGATTTTTATAGTAAAAAGAACAATATTTTATACAGCCACTAGTAAAATTAACTTTTTGAAAAATTTATGTGGGACTGTGGCCTGCCCTAATATATATATATATATATATATATATATATATATATATATATATATATATATATATATATATATATATATATATATATATATATATATATATATATATATATATATATATATATATATATAGAGAGAGAGAGAGAGAGAGAGAGAGAGAGAGTAAGTGAAACTCGAAGAATTTCAGGTTGGCACGCTTGTGTCAACCTTAGCCGACGTTAGGTCGGCAAAAAAAAAAAAAATTGCTTTCTGTTACGATAGGGGTAATGATTAACTGATTATAAAAGGATTGCTTTGTAATAGCATAGCTTCAGACCATAATAATTTAAAGAATTTAGTAATTAAATTTTGTGTAGTAAATTAAGTATAAAGCAAATTTATGAATTAGTCATTTTTTTGTTTTGAAGTTTTTTTTTTTTTTGAAAAAATGGCCATAGTTTATTTATTAAATTTTAGATTTGTTTTTTATGTTGCTCATAGAAAGAACGCAGTTTCGAAATACAGATTTAGTTTATGTGCTGTAGGCAAAGATTTTGTTTAAAACAGCAAATTGTTTAACAAAATGAGACAGTTTACATCTGGTTGTTTTACTTCTAAGAGAAATAAGCATTTTTTTATCTAGTAGTCGAGTGTTGTTTTTCAATATTAAATTGTAGTATAGTATGAACTTGTAACTATATGTAAATTGATGAAAAACGAAAATTAAAAATACTATAAATAGTTTTTTTTCTTATATATAAACATTGTTTCCGCGCATTATCAGAATTTTCTGTCCAATCATCATCAGAAATGTCGCTTAAGTTAATGTTAGAAATCAAATTTTCTTGATCAGAAGATTCACTGTCAGAAGAAATAAGGGTTTGCAAAGCCTAATATACTTTCTGATCTTAAATAATATTAAAAAAACCGTAAATATGTAAATTATTTTATTAGTTAAATGGTTTTAAATAATAAAGTAAAGTAAAATTTTATAACTTAATAAAATAATAAAATAAGTGTGAGAACAACAGGCATTTAAAAGTAATATTTTTTAACCTTGCTGTGCTTGAGTAAAGGTGGGTTTTGTGTGTGTGTGTGTGTGTGTGTGCGTGCGTGCGTGTGCATATTTGAATAGATTAATTTGTTATTTGGAATGATTATGGCTTAACTGTTTCTTTGTACCTTCAGATGAAAAATGTTTTCTATGATACTCAACTACATGGTAGAGAAGCTGACGTTGATTGTCATTTTTTATCAAAACTTCATTAAAGTCAGTGGCAAATTTAACTGCCTATTCTGCACACTAATTAACGACTTTCATGGCACGAACTATCTTACAAGCAGACTTGTAATCATCACAATTAGCCCAAGTTTTAAAAGACAATGTCAAGAATTCTTTTGGTAGATTGAGAGTCAAACAAATTTATTGAGCGTCATGTAATAAAGTTAGCTATAGAAAGTTTAGAGAATGTATAAATCTTGTTTGGAGTAAGTCTTCTATTGTCACCTGGTAATGGTTCTTATTGTGAGGCATTTACAATTTCCATTTTCTCTTCAACAGAAATTTTATCACTGAATAATGGAAGAGAAGCTAGATCTTCATAACTGAAGTTAAACTTTTTTTTGTGCAAGATTTGCAACTTTGCTATTAACTTGACAATAGTTCTCAATTACTTTTAAAAGGAGATCATTTTTTGGTGCTTCTGTTGTGAGAGGTGCTGAAAACCAGAAACATGCATACATTGTGGTTATGAAGAAACATATTCTTCTTAAAATCACAATTTCTTTCTCTGTGATATTTAACTGATGATGAAAACCAAAAACTTTTAAATAGTATATACCTTTAGCCATCCATCTTGCACGATGGTAAGCCCCAGGAATGCAAATAGTTGTTATATCATTATTTTCTCTCTAAAGGAGAAGCGCTAGTCTTCCGAATTCTTTATAATTATAATGTGGTTGCATTTCCTCTAGAAAATTTAAAAAAGTATTTTTTTAAATTTTCCACCACATCGGATTTTTGAAATGCATGCCACTCTTTTTCAAAGTGATTAAAGTGGAGCCTTACTTTATAAGGCTCCATTTTAATTACTTTCAAGTGTTTCAAACTTTGATTTATTTATTACCTCTCACTGGGACTTAACTCTACCAAAAACTTCAATATTTGGTCCTTTTGATACAAAAACGCATCAAACACTGCCTTTGTACAGATTTCAAGAACATGATGTCAACAGGCTAAAAACAAAACTCTTCGATTCATTGACTTCTGTATGACAGTTATTGCCCCATTATGACTTCCTGCATTACTTGCAGTTGTTTCAAAGCAAAGACCAGCAAGATGCTCCTCAACGCTAAGCCTTTTGTCCGATTACAGCGCCAGTACCAGTAGGTATCTCAGGAATCCCTAATAATTTCTCAATATCCAATATTCGACAACATTTTACTATTAAAATGAGCAACTAGTGGAACCAAGGGTTGAAAATTTTTTCTTACTGCTATTGCAAAAGATTCACGGGATTTAGTTCGAGCTTCCATTAGAGCGGAACATAAAAATGTTAGTTTATTTACATCAATACCGATTGCAGCTAGGGCTGGTGTGAAAACCATCATTGCTTGTCGTGGTGTTATTTTTGTTTGATCTAATTGCTGCATGAAAGAGTTGATTGTCAAGTATACAACGCTTGGATCGAGAGTGGACTAATGCCCATAATAGAATATAAAATAAGTAAAAACTTTTTGTATTTGAATTGACATATCGCAGTCAGAGTTTTCATCCAAAGAGTAATCTGTATTGTAATCCATTAATGTATCTGTAGATGTAACTTTACTTTCTTTATGTTGTTCAAAGCGCCTTTTTTTTTTTAGCTTGCGTTTTCTGTATTTTACAACTGCTTTCTTATACATTAAATCTTCTGATGTCATTAACATCTTTTGGGAACCTCTCTGGTCTATCAGAAATTGTTTATCTTCATTTATCTTGATGAGACAATCCCATTCACCATGGGCAATATCAAAAAGTGTATTAATCTTACCAGCAAATTTTTTTTGATAGCTATGTTGAGTAGCTAATTTTCTACTTCTATTCTTAGATACTTGAACATGTTGCTTATGAATACTCTTTAGTGTAACAACTACATGAGGCTTTGCTATAGTTAGAATATTAGTCTTCAGCCAGAAAATCATAACTTCATTCAGGATATTGAAAGAGTTGACTTTTTGATCCTATGTAGAGTTTTTATGAAAGAATTTTCATAAAAACTCTACATAGGACAACACCACTTGATGGCAACTGACACAGTCCATCTATTGTTGAGAGAATATGTCCAAGTAGCCAAACATTTGTAGTTGAGCATGTTGCTTTGTCTGAAGCAGCATTTTCTTAAGTGATATTTTTATACTTTTTTCCTATAATAGAAAGAATATAATAGAAATTTAATAAATATAAAGTGTTCAAAGTCAAATAATGAAATAATGCTGAGGGGGTAAATCTAAATTTGGTTGTACTTTCCAGTCTTCTGTGAACTATGTATGTTGTAACATAATACTTTATATTATTTGTTTTTAGATCAATTTATAGCAGTATTTTGTATGAAATCAAAACAGAATTACAAGATTAAGTTATTAGACAAATTATGGTCAATTTAGGGTTCTGAAATAAGGTTTGGGGGACCACTTCCCATTATCAATTAGCAAAAAAATTAAAATTTTTTGCTAATTGATAATTGATAATTTATATACTTTTCATATTAGACCTCACCAAGTAAGAGGTTGTGCGAATAAAAATTAAAAAATTTTTTTTTCTATATATGAAAAAAAACCCACCTTATATATATATATATATATATATATATATATATATATATATATATATATATATATATATATATATATACATATATATATATATATATATATATATATAAATATATATATATATATATATATATATATATATATATATATATATATATATATATATATATATATATATATATATATATATTAAGGTGGGTTTTTTTTCATATATAGAAAAAAAAAAAAATTTTAATTTTTATTCGCATATATATATATATATATATATATATATATATATATATATATATATATATATATATATATATATATATATATATATATATATATATATATATATATATATATATATATATATATACATATATATATATATATATATACATATATATATATATATATATATATATATATATATATATATATATATATATATATATATATACATATATACATAAATATATAATATATATTCCTACATCTACTTTACAGTAATATGCACCTAAATTCTATAAGGCGACATAGGAGGTAATCCACAAAAAAAAATATATTTTATGCTATAATGACTTCAATCATCTTATAAACTCCTTTGAGCAAATTCTATTGAAATTAAATAAAATAGCACTTCCCCACTATGCAAAATATATACAAAAAAATATGTTAGATATACAAAAAAAATTGTTACTAAAACATTTTTTCTTTTGTTGATTTTAATTAGTTGTGTCACCTTAAAGTTAAATATCATTGTGGAAAGGAATTGTAAAGAAAAACCTCAGCAGATGTTAGTGAAATGAATGTTTATATGTTAATAAAACGTAATATAATAAAACGTAATATAATAAAACATAATATAATAAAAAACAAATTTTTATGTTTCCACAGGAAGAGAAAAATATAAAATATAAGAGTTTTAGTGAAAGGAAAATCTGTATTTTTTAGTAGCATATTTTACACACACACTGGTTGCTAAAAATTTGGAAAATAAATAAATATAGTTGACAAACTAACCTAAATTATTGATTTTAATCATATATGCATATAAAAACATTTAAAAACTATCAAAAGTACAAACTGTCACTATATGGCATTTGTATGCAAATATATTCAAAACTGCATTTCCCATATCTTGCAAAAAATTTTTTAGTTTGACACAAAAATAATTTTTTAAATATTTTTCATTGCTCAGTCTAGTTCGCAGATTACCTGCAACAAATATAACCTTAAACTCTAGACTATTCTAACTCTAGACTATTCTGAATACAAATTTAGTCAGAAACTTAAAGATGACAAAAAACACAACTGTTATTATGTCGTCATTAAGTATTTTCTATTGATGTACTCAATGGTGGCAAAACATATAACATATATGTTTGGCTGCTAATATATATATATATATATATATATATATATATATATATATATATATATATATATATATATATATATATATATATATATATATATATATGGGGCTATTCTAGACCGTTTTTGACAGCGTCGACCGTATTTGGATGCCGCCCAAATTAAAATTTTAAAATCTTTTTTTATTTTATTTTTACGTTTTTATGATGAATAGTTTTTTTTTTGGTGAAAAAACACAGATTTCCTCCAAAATTCTGTGTGTGTGTGTGTGTGTGTGTGTATATTATCAAAAGGAAACGAAATTTTGAAAACAACATTTTTCAAATCTAAATAAAAAGCAAATCTTTTTCAACCTTCTCATCACCAGTCCAAAGTAAAGTACCAGTAGGGTCAAATGCCATACATTTAATAGCAGTATGTCCTTTAACAACTCCATCTTTAGCATACATACCAGTTGATGTATTAAAAACTTGAACATGACCTTTTTCATTACCAGTCTTAAAGCAGTTAAGAATAAGTTGAATATGTGCAAATTATGTATAACATTTGTAACTTATATATGTAAACAATTTAAAGTAAAAATTGACTTAGTAAAACAACTAAACGCTTTTGAATAAAACATTGACTAAATGAATATTTCATTTAATGGCACTTTACAAAACATTATTACCCCACAATTTTAGTATTTACACCTAATATCTACACGTAATGCACCTAAAGTTATTCATTTTATCTTCATAAAAAAAAGTTAGAGGGAGTGTGACAAATCTTTGATTAAACACTTCTGTCTATTAATCATACAATTTTATATCAAATACTTAACAGAGCTCAAATAACATAAAGTACAAGAATTGTACTTGGTATTGTTATCAACAATACTTTTAACTCAAAATATCTGCAATTGTGATATAAATAGTACAAAGTGGTTTAGTCTACTAAATTTATAACATATTAAAATCTTACCTAAACAAGAAGCAAATTTTTAAAAATTGAAAGAGATTTAGAGGGGCCACCTCAAGTTTAAAACTTGCAACTCGACCCTAAACAGAAGAAAAAAGGTTTTCCAAATGTATGTCATGTTGGGTCTCAAAAGAAAACTTTATAAAAATTTAAAAAATAATATTTTTTTGTTAAAAATATCCTAAAAAGTTTTTTTTTTTAATTTTTTGTTAAAAAATAATATTTATGCAATAAAACTTAGAATAATAATTTTTGCGTAAAATTTTTATTATTTTTAAAATTTTATAAAATTTCACTTTATTTTAGACTTGAGATGGCCCCCCTAAATCTCATTCAATTTTAAAAAAATTTAACAGAGTGCCTTGTGAGAACCAATAGAAAGTTTTAAGAATAGGAACACATATATACAGGCTTTCACAGGAAGGCATGCGATCGCACATCTTTATATGACCACACAAAAAATAATATGTTTTAACGATTTGACCACAGCTTTTGACATATTTTCAAAATTTAAAAATGCGCTACATTTTTAAATTTTGAAAATATGTCAAAAGTTATAAAGTTAAGTTCCTTAATAAGTTTTTAATATTATTTGAATATCCACTCTATTTTTCTATCTATTCTAGATGCTTTTCTACTAAATTTTCAATTAAAATTCGAGATAACTTAAGTTGATTGAACAAAGAATGAACTTTAAAAGTTATAAGTGCTTTATAAAAGTAATAACACTATAATAGTTTTATTACTTTTATAATGCAGTTAGTGACTAGAGTGTTATTACTTTTGTAGTCATAAGTTTATTGTTTTGTTTTTTATAACTTTTTTGCTAACAAACTTATAATTTGCTCCTTGAAAACAAAGTACTCTATTTTGCATTAACTAAAACTTTGAAGACCAGATATTTTTTTGGATTTTTCATTTTGCCATCGCTTAATTCAACCCTTGATATATATATATATATATATATATATATATATATATATATATATATATATATATATATATATATATATATATATATATATACATATATATATACATATATATATACATATATATATATATATATATATATATATATATATATATATATAATATATATATATATATATATATATATATATATATATATATATATACATATATATATACATATATATATATATATATACATATATATATATATATATATATATATATATATATAATATATATATATATATATATACATATATATATACTATATATATATATATATATATATATATATATATATATATATATATATATATATATATATATATATATATATATATATATACATATATATATATATATATATATATATATATATATAATATATATATATATATATATATATATATATATATATATATATATATATATAAATATACTCTAGCACTTTTAGACCCAATTTTTCTACTTTTACTAATTTTTTTACAACCTAAAACAGCAACTTCATATATTTCGAGTGTGCCTGATAGCCCTTTTGCAAGACATACTTATATATAGACATGCACATTTTTAAAGATACTTTTCAATTAATATTAAAAGTGTTACACAATAAAAGTTTAAAAACAACAAACTAATAATAATGAAAAGATACAACAATAAGATTGTTATTAAGAGGCATAAAACGACAACAATTAACAGGAGTTTCAAAATGATCCTTTATAGTTCGAATATTTTGACCACTGCTGGCATTCCAGATCTGAGCTGTGCAATCATCAGATGCTGATACAAGCAAATCATTAGTACTGGACCAATCAAAATCTTTTAATAAAAAAATTATTTTTAATAGATATAAAATTTTTTATAAATAACAAAAAATAATTACAAAATTTATAATAAATTATAAATATTACAATTTTAAATTATGGCTTTGACAAAACTTTTTAGCTATATATGAAGACGAACTGATTTTACTAGTCCTAATTAAACTTTAGATAAAAGAAACAAAGAACTTAAATAAATAAAAAAAAACAGTTCTCGGTTTTGACAGTATTGAAATAATTCTTTAACCATTCATCATAAAAAACTTATTTTTAAAAATTACCATTGACAGCACCCTTATGACCATGAAGTATGGATTTAACTCGAGGAGGATGCACTTCTAATGAGCAAACTGATAATGTTGAATCTTTTGAACAACAGGCAAACAAGAATTTGTCATTATTTGCAAATTTAACACCATTAACTATAAAATAATCAATTCAGTTAATTACTTATTTTTCCTTTCTTAAAGCTAAAGCCTTAGTTTTAACAAGTACTTATTAATTTTTTTTTTAATTCACCTTCCCGAGGTTTCAGTGTCAACACAACAACCACAACAGATGGCTGCTCTATTATTTTTATTTTTTATTATCAACTTCATTGGAATATTTAAAATTAAACATTAAAAATAGCTATATCTCAAAAAACAATTTATATGGTGATATAATTATAACTTTTAAAAATAAAAATGACTGATCGTGACGTTAGAATAATAGGGTTCTATCTCCCTTTTGTAATGTTGTAAGAACTTAACAAAATTTGTTACACTCTCAGAAATTTTTAAATTAAAAGTAAAATTTTGTTAAATTTATTAAAATAAAAAATCAAAATACCTAATTTGTTAAACAGATTGCACACATTGTTTATTATTTATTTAGTAATATAAATTGGTATAAGACAAATCGGTAGAAGAGAATAATAAGGTTTTATCTACTAATTTTTATGGCAAAAAAATCTAATTTTTTGTTTTTATTTATAATAATGTTTCTGTGTTTTTATTTATAATAATGTTTCTGTGTTCAAAATTGTATAATTTTAATATATTAATCTTATTATTATTTTATTTATTATTATTATTTATATAATATCAAGCCTTTCCAGGAAAAACGTGCGGTTTTTTTTCTCGTATGACCACACGCGATTACACTATTTTAGAAAACGTGAACACGGCCGTTTGCAAAATAATAATGCTGAAAAAGTTTTAAAAACAAAAAAAACATAACTAACAAAATAAAAAGAGATTGAAATAGAAAAAAATAAAAACAAATTAATAATTTGTGTAGTGTTTTTATTATTGTTTCTTTAGAGTTACATTCAGCAAAGATAGATAAGGCAAAGCAAAAAAAAAAAAACAGTTTGAAGTCTACAATAAAAAAGATGATTTTCCTTTTCTTAATTTTTTTTAAGAGGATAGCAAATTGCAATGTGTTTGTAAATTTATTTATGTAATTTTAATGTAACAACAAGGGTTGAATTAAGCGAATGCAAAACGCAAAATCTGGAAAAATATCTAGTATTCAAAATTTTAGTTTATACAAAACCGTGTTCCTTGTTTTTAAGGGAAGAATCAACTTAAATTTGGTAGCGAAAAAATAAAACAATAAACTTCTGATTACAAAAGTAATAACACTCTAGTCACTAACTGCTTTACAAAAGTAATAACACTATAATAGTATTATTATTTTTATAACGCACTTATAACTTTTAAAATTCATTCTTTGTTCAAGCAACATTAATACTCCCATATTTTAATTGAAGTAGAAAAATATCTAAAAGAATAAAGTAGATGTTCAAATAATATTAAAACTAAAGTAACTTATAAAAATGTGACAAACAACTTTATGAAAACGTATTGTATTAAAAGTTTAGCATTATGAAAAACGTTACTAATGGACCGTAAAAACGCCCGTTAATTTTAAAATTTCCCAATAAAAATTTTTTATTGGTTGATTTTAAAATTAACGCGCGTTTTTATGTAATGTTTTTCATAATGCTATACTTTTTATAAAGTACTTTTTTATAACGTTGTTAAAGTGATATGTGAAAGTTACTAAAATTTTTAATAATATTTGAATATTCGCTTTATTTTTTCTAGATGCTTTTCTACTTTAATAAATGTTTGGAATTAATAATGTTGTTTGAACAAAGAATGAACTTTAAAAGTAATAAGTGCTTTATAAATGTAATAACACTATTATAGTTTTATTACTTTTATAATGCAGTTAGTGACTAAAGTTTTATTACTTTTGTAGTAGTAAGTTTATTGTTTTTGTTTTGTTTTTTGTAACTTTCTTGCTAGCAAACTTTTAATAATTTGCTCCTTATAAACAAAGTACACAGCTTTGCATGAACTAAAATTTTAAAGACCTAATATTTCTTTTTTTTTTTTTTTATCTTCGCTTTCAACAAGGTTGCAAGTAACCACTAATTAGTGTTGGAAGTTACTGGAAGAGAAAAGATGAAGATTGTAGAGCAAGATAACGATTGACAGACGACTTAAAATATTGCAAATTATATGAATCAGGAAAGCAAGATGAAGGAAGCGAATTCCAAAGAACTGATGTTTGAGGAAAAAAGCTAGATGAATAAGAGTTTTTGGAGCACTTAGGAACAGTAACAGAAAAAGGATGAGACTTAATTGAATGACGAGTAACACGAGAATGAATTTTAGTAGATGGCACAAGAGACGCTAGCTCTTTAGAGCAGTGCCCATTATAGTATTTGTAGAAAAGAGAAAGAGAAGCAACATTACGACGATGTGACAGAGGTTGAAGGTTGGCTGCAAGAGCAGGTCCAACTATGTTTACAATGCGTTTTTGCACCTTGTCTAAAAGAGAAAGGGCATCATTAGAAGATCCGTCCCAGATATGGCAACAGTATGCGAGCCCCATGCTCGCAGTGGCTGGTGAACTTTAATTCAGATAAAACTCAATTTTTTTCGGCCAATCTTTATCGCAATAATTTAGACCTTCCTATATTTATGAACGGTAATGTACTCGATGAGTCTCCTACCCTTCATCTTCTAGGATTAACTCTTACTTCTGATCTTTCTTGGAAATTTTATATCAAATCCGTTGCAAAATTAGCATCTGCTAAAGTTGCTTCTCTTTATCGAGCTCGTCACTTTCTTACTCTGGATTCTATTCTCTATCTCTATAAATCTCAAATCCGGCCTTGTATGGAATACTGTTGCCATATCTGGGGCGGATCTTCTAATGATGCCCTTTCTCTTTTAGACAAGGTGCAAAAACGCATTGTAAACATAGTTGGACCTGCTCTTGCAGCCAACCTTCAACCTCTGTCACATCGTCGTAATGTAGAAGAGTGAGGCTTGACCTGGAATCGTCGAGAGGAAATAAAGGATTCCATGCCAGCCTGAATCCACGAAGTTATGTAAGAAGCACATTTCTCAACAGGGAGATGAAAGATTTCTACCCAGGGGCCATCAGGAAGAAAGTCACGAAAAGAGTCCCAGTCAGCTTTAAGGTAGTTGTAAGATGTACGATGATAGGGGGATTCTAATGGTAAAGAAGAATGAGATAATAGTTTTAGAGAGACCAAACCATTATCAGACGCACCTAAGGGTGAGTGTGAAGAAACTGAACACTGACTAGGATCAGAAACAAGACATAAGTCGAGTAGAGAAGGTAAATGATTCAGGTTGTCTGGAAAGCGAGTTGGAAAGTTGACTATTTGAGTTAGGGATTGAGAAAGACAAAAGTTGTGGGCCTTAATGCCTGCAGAGTCACTGACACTAGAGCCAAGCCATTCTGTGTGATGAACATTAAAGTCACCGACAACAACAATATTGGCTGATGGATAAAGAATGAGGGCTTGGTCAATATAATCAGAAATAACATCAAGAAGAGTGAAGTCTTGGGATGAAGGAGAGTGATATAGAACAAAGAGAAAGGTGATAGAGTGAAGTGGTGCTAAACGAAAGCACATTTTAGAGTAGTCTGTGGATTCAAACCTAGTTTCCCGACAAATGGATGAATTCTTACGAATGTAAATGCCCAGGCCAAGCATGTGACTATTGGAGTCTTTACGAATTAAAGGAAGATAACCATCAACACTAAGATCACAAGATGAGACAGCTGAACTCAAATTAGTCTCACAAAGAGCAAGCAGGTCTGGTGAACTTTGCAAGAGATAAGACTTAACAGAAGAAAAGTTACTTTGAAGACCACGAATATTGGTGAATGATAGGTTTAGCCAACTTGGTGATGACTGTGGTTTTTTGTGTTTTATAGTTTTTGTTACTTTATTCATTTTTAAAATTGTTAAAGAACTTGACTCGAACCAACACACCAAAATTACAAACAGGGACACCATTCATGCGCAACATGGCACTGTTAGTACTCTGATATTTTTCAGCTGTTGATGGAATTAGCCTCTCTGAGAGCTACCACAGACTTTTGGAAACCTGACTACCAGCCCGCCTCAGAACCATAAAACTGAGTTTTAGCGCTGTACCCTCATTTGGAGATAATAGAATGAGTTGCCTAGTCATAAAAACAGAGACACAAGCAAAACCCATGAATCGAGTCAAGAAGACCTGAGTTTGCAAATTTTACCAGAGTTTGCAAATTGCAATCGTATAATTTAACTCTTGATATAAACTTGTTACATTATAATTATACAAATATATTTTACAAACAGATGACAATACATATTTTCTCTTTCCTCTTTAAAAGCAAAAAACACATAAGATATGGGAAAGTCATCCTTTTTAACCCTAAAACAGTTTTTTTTTTTGTTGCTTTGACTTAATGAGTTTTGTTGACGATAATAATAACCACTAAGAAAAAACAAAAATAAAAACAACACACAAATTATTTAAACTATTACTATTGTTTTCTATTTAAGTTCACTTTAATTTCTTAAGTAGATATTAAATTTAACAATCAATTAATTTGTAAACAAGCAATTAAAAAATTAATAACGTAAGATTAATAATAAAATATAAATAACATAAAAAAAATGTTTTATTAATATGAACAACAACAGCTGTAAAATATTTAAATAACTATATATATATATATATATATATATATATATATATATATATATATATATATATATATATATATATATATATATACAATAACAACAATAACGATAAGCCGTGGTGAAAAAAGGTTTAAATAAACATTAAACTAAATAAAATATTGAATTTTGTTTGGCACCACTTGTGCTTAGGTTTAGCACCATTTCACTCTACCACCTTTCTCTTTGTTCTATATCATGATCCTTCATCTTAAGACTGCACTCTTATGGTGTGGTTGACAAGTTATCTATTTGGTTTTTGAACTCATTTAGATGACAAAATTGATTAGAGTTTGTAAGTCTATAATAGAGATGGCACACATGTTGTTGTTCAGAGTCAGAGACCTTAAAAGTCAGAGACCTTAAAAGACTCTC